ATAGGGTTATGTACGGAATACCACATCAGGTAAATGCCTCCACCGCTTTGCTGGCACATACGCAAAGCCATGGTCTTCATTGGTCTTCATTGTCCCTGCTCCTGGGCCATAATTGGTACTTGGTAATGCTTATCAAATTGAAGGGATTGAAATCAAAGGGCAACAGATATTAGAATCTGATTCAATAAACCAAGTAAATTAGGCTTTTATTTTTTGTTATTGTTAATGCTCACGCCAAATTCAAATCTTGCATGAATTTTGGGACACCCTTTATATATACAAATATATACACACATATCCTATCTAATAAAAGAGAAACATGGTAATTAGCCGTGCATCCGCTACCCTTCCCATTGGCTAATCATGGCAATATGCAAATTAACTGCCAGCCAAGATGGCGGCTGGCAGCCAGGCAGCTTGAAGCAAACATGAGGCTTGCTTGCTTCAGTGACGGAGGACTCCAACATTCCCCGCCTGCCTTGCCGGCCTCTGAGCTTGCAGTTTGAAACATTGTTACAAATATAGAAGCTAAAAAAAACCCCAGAAACCTGCTTTCAGCCAGCCGGGATCTCAGAGCTGGAGTTGAAACAGTGTTTCGATTATAGAACCCAAACAAACCAGATACCTGCTTTCAGCAGCGGAGGCCTAAGAGCTGGAGCCAAGCCTCAGAGCTAAAATTGGCCCAGAATAAAAAAAAGAAAAAGAAAAAAGGAGCGGTTGGGAGCTTCAATCACCCGCCAGCCTGAAAACAGCCCAAGGCCGGGTCCCCTTTGTAAGCAGGGTGTTCTGGTTTGACTCTGTGGGCTCCTGGGGTTCCTCCAGGCCATTATTGTGCACAGAGCACCCTGGCTTGCTCTGAGAACTGTGTCCTTTTAGCCATTTGTGTCTCATGACCTTAGTGGAGACATGAGGCAGTCATGTAGGCTGAGCGTGTTTTCCGCACAGGAGGCATTAGAGCAGGACTCTGCAAACTGAAGTCTGCAGGAAGGATCTGGCTGCTGCCGTGTGTGAATAAAAGCTTTGTTGGACGCAGCCACGTCCCTGTCCCTGCGTCTGTCTAGGGCTGCTTAGACGCAAGCTGCTGAGCAGTTATGGGAGAGACCTTGTGGCAGCAAAGCCCGAAATGCTCACTATCTGCCCTTTGCAGAAGCTTTGCCCAAAGTCTATGCAGAAATTGACTTGTTTATGCAACAAACAGTCCACACCGTGTGCAGGCAGTGGGGCCATCCTGGCCTCAGGAGCCTTCCAGGGCAACGAGTGAACGCGCGGATGGAGAAATTAATGCACAAAGTGACTCCAGGGAGGAAAACAGGGCAGCAGAGAGTGAGGGTGCTGGCGGGCGGCTGGGCCTCTGTGAGGGGGCGATGCTGAGCTGCACTGGGTGAGGTGAGGGGTCGGGTGGCCTCCCAGGCCGAGGCACCTGGGTGTGCGGACACTGCTGCAGAAATGGGCTCGCTCAGGGGACGATGGGGAATCAGCTGTAACCAACATCGTGGCTGTAGGTTGAACAAAGTAAACTAACAAACAAAATAGAAACAGACTCACAGCTGTCAGAGGGGAGGGGCTGGGGGGCTGGGTGAAAAAGGTGAAGGGATTAAGCACAAAAGACGTGTGTTGACATTCCTGCATCTCGCTTTCCGTGGGTCAGGAAGGAGGTAGAACCTTTAAAATATTTAAAAATTGAACTAATTGTGGTGACATTGGTTAATCTACACTAATAAAAGAGAAACATGCAAATTGGTGTCACTCCGCTAGGCCCACCAGCCAATCGGCTGAGTATGCAAATTAACCCAACAAAGATGGTGGTTAATTTGCATATGTAGCCGCAGAGCGAAGACTGAAGACGGCTGAAGGCTGAAGAGGCTTGGCTTCTCTGTTGTGGCCAGAGTGAAGGCTTGGGTCCCAGATGCTGGTGGAAAACCGGTGCGGGCAGCCAAGGGAAGAAAGGCCTATTGCATGAATCTCTTCATGCAACGGGCCTCTAGTAACATTATATAAATTTAAGGTGTACGATTCTAGAATACATCACCTGTCTACTGTATTGTGTGTTCACCACCTCAAGTCGAGTCTCTCCATCACCATTTACCCCCTTTTACCCTCTCCTGCCTCCAACCCCCCTGCCCCCCCATTTCTCACTGGTAATCACCGTACTGTTGTCTGTCTATGAGGTTTTTTCTTTTGTGTTTAATCCCTTCACCTTTTTCACCCAGCCTCCCAGACCCTCCCCTCGGACAGCTGTGAGTCTGTTTCTATTTTGTTTGTTAGTTTACTTTGTTCATTAGATTCCACATGTAAATGAAATCATATGGCGTTTGTCTTTCTCTAACTGACTTATTTCACTTAGCATAATACTTTTCAGGTCCATCCATGCTGTCGTAAAAAGTGAGATTTAATTCTTTTGTGTGGCTGAAGAGTATTCCATGGTGTACCTGTCCCACAGCTTTTTTATCCACTCATCTACTGATGGCACTTGGCTGCTTCCAAATCTTGGCTATTGTAAATAACGCTGTAATAAACACAGGAGTGCATATATTCTTTCAAATTAGTGTTTCTGGTTCCTTTGGATACATTTCCAGAAGTGGAATCGCTGGGTCATAAGGCAGCTCCATTTTTATTTTTTAAATAGATTTTTATTGATTTCAGAGAGGAAGGGAGAGGGAGAGGGAGATAGAAACATCAATGATGAGAATCATTGGTCAGCTGCCTCGTGCACGCCCCCCACTGGGGACCGAATCCACAACCCAGGCATGTGCCCTTGACTGGAATCAAACCTGGGACTCTTCAGGCCGGCACTCTGTCCACTGAGCCACACCAGCTAGGGCCGTGGTGGGCAAACTGCGGCTCGCGAGTCACATGCGGCTCTTTGGCCCCTTGAGTGTGGCTCTTCCTAAGCCTTAGGAGTACCCTAATTAAGTTAATAGCAATGGACCTACCTGTATAGTTTAAGTTTAAAAAATTTGGCTCGCAAAAGAAATTTCGATCGTTGTCCTGTTGGTATTTGGCTCTGTTGACTAATGAGTTTGCCGACCACTGAGCTAGGGCAAGGCAGCTCCATGTTTAGTTTTTGAGGACGCTCCACGTGGCTGTGCCAGGAGGCATTCCCACCCACAGCGCACGGGGTTCCCTTCCCCCATGTCCTCATCAGCCCCAGAAACGAGGGAGCACCTGTCCCCACGTCTTTTTAGCTCTGTGCTCTGAAGAGGTCATCAGGCCTTTGTCCATGTATCTGTAAGATGGTCAGATATTTCTTAGAATTTGAGTGAGCGAGTAGCAGGTACAGGTTTTGAGTGAACTCAGCCCAGCTGAGGGATTTAAGAGTCAAGGCAGGCTAGCGGTCCAGCCATTTCCTTTTTCAAGGCCCTCTACGGTCTTCACTCCGTCCCCTCTTTCCCTGTGTAGAGCTTATGTGGGGTGAGGGCGGGGCTTATAGGCTCCCCTGCGCCCTCTCTCCCCATCCATCTTACAGATACATGGACAAAGGCCTGATGACCTCTTCAGAGCACAGAGCTAAAAAGACATGGGGACAGGTGCTCCCTCGTTTCTGGGGCTGACGAGGACATGGGGGAAGGGAACCCCGTGCGCTGTGGGTGGGAATGCCTACTGGCACCTCCCCCCCCCCCCCCCCCCCCGCCCCAAGATGTCTTCTGCTCCTGGTCGCGTCTGCTGGCCTCCGCTGTTCCCCTGCTTCTGTGGTCCTCCTGGGTGTGTTCCGGATGAGGGCATAGGGACAAGCAGGGCCCCCAGTGCTGCCTGGTCAGTCTGAATGGTGTCTCGACTCTAGTACTAGTGGTCCACTGAGACTGCAGGCTCACCTCCCCGCAGTCCCGAGGGATTGTTCACAGGCGTCTTTTTGCTCTTGCCTCCGCAGGCAGGCCTTGAAACCTTGAGCAGAATGAGCGATGTCTGAACTGAGCTCTGCGCCTCTCCCGGGACCCACGGGTCTTGTTGATGCTCAGAGCATCGGCCCCTGTGTCCGCGTGCCGGCGCTCTCTGTGCAGGCACCTCTCCTGGGGCGGCCAGAGCAATGCTAGGTGCTGGCCTGTCACCTCCTGACCAGCAGGGTTTCTGCTGCTCCCAACTGCCCTTCACCTGGACGGGCAGGTGGACAGACATGGGCAGGAGCCCCCGTCCCTCAAGCTCCAAGCCTCCAGCTCCCACGCCCGCCTCCTGGGCCCAGCCTTGGAGGGCTGCCCACTGCGGGGAGGGGGGCCGCTGGGTCGGAAGGGAGACAAGCGTGCAGATGGCTCCCTTTCAGATCTTGGACTGGAGAGCGTCTTTATTGTCTGGCTCCTACCAGACGGAGCACCCAGAGCCCAGATTGGAGTGGCCCAGGGGGCGCAGGGGAGGAGACAGCAAACACACATTTCCGGCACAAACATTTTATTGATTTAGCAATTGGCTTTTGTCACATGGAAAGCAAGCCACCAGTCCTGCAGAGGAGGCTCCTGGGGCCCCAAGTGCACCCAGTGAGGGATTTGTGGTTCCTCTCTGCTCAAAAACGCCTGGGGGGCATGTTCAAATCTGCATCAAGCGATGACTGTGGGTCCACGGGAGAGGGGAGGGCCTGGCAGCAGCAGAGGGGGGGAGGGGGAGGGCCTGGCCCCAGCAGAAGAGGGGAGGGGGAGGGCCTGGCACCAGCAGAGGGGGGAGGGGGAGGGCATGGCAGCAGCAGAGGGGGGGAGGAGGAGGGCCTGGCCCTAGCAGAGGGGGGGAGGGGGAGGGGGAGAGACTGGCCCCAGCAGAGGGGAGGAGGGGGAGAGCCTGGCCCCAGCAGAGGGGGGGAGGGGGAGGGCCTGGCACCAGCAGAGGGGGGAGGGGGAGGGCCTGGCACCAGCAGAGGGGCTCTGGGGGCTCCCAGGAGAGGAGAGCTGTGCTCAGGAGCAAGGAGAGCAGCTCCAGAGGCAGAAGATGGAGCTGCTCAGCAGCAGGATGTCTGGGCCGACGCGGGGACGCAGCAGGCCGGGCAGGCGGCAGAGCAGGGACATGCAGGAGGACGGGCATCAACAGCTGGGCTGGCAGGAGGAGGCAGGGCCACAGCAGGAGGAGGCGGGCACGCAGCAGGCAGGCCTGCACATGGGGCGGCAGATGAGGGACACGCAGGAGGAGGGTCTGCAGCAGGAGGAGGTGCAGGGGGTGGGCTGGCAGCAGGAGGAGGCTGAACAGGGGGCGGCCCCGCAACAGACAGGCTTGCAGCACACAGGTGTACAACAGACAGGTTTGCAGCAGACAGGTGTGCAACAGACGGGCTTGCAGCAGACAGGTGTGCAACAGACGGGCTTGCAGCAGACAGGTGTGCAACAGACGGGCTTGCAGCAGACAGGTGTGCAACAGACGGGCTTGCAGCAGACAGGTGTGCAACAGGCGGGCTTGCAGCAGACAGGTGTGCAACAGACGGGCTTGCAGCAGACCGGTGTACAACAGGCAGGCTTGCAGCAGACAGACACACAGCAGGCCTGCTGGCAGGGGCAGGAGGTGCAACAGGTGGGCTGGCAGCAGCTGGGGACACAGCAGGTGGGGGCGCAGCAGGAGGGCTCACAGCAGCTCTCTGGACAGTCGTCCACCTGCCAGGAGGAGTCGGTGCAAGAGTCACTGGAGCCAGGCAGGCAGGCGCAGCTGTCATAGCTCAGGTCGCTGGAGCAGACGGACAGGGTGGACGCGGCCATGGTGGGCGATGGGGCTGGAGGTGAGCTGGGAGGTGGGGTGTGAGTGTGAGTGTGAGTGAGTGTGTGAGGTGCTCGGTCTGTGGGCTTTTATACGCTCCCAGTGTGTGTGTGTGTGGCCCCAGCAGGAGGCTCCCACGCCCGCCCTTCCTCGTTGGTGTTTACACCGGTTGCAGGAGAACCCTCATTAGTGCTGGTTTCTTTTCTATAATTAGGTTTTACTCATTAAAGTTGTGAGTGTGTTGCCGGACTCTGTTTTCCCATCTGTTCTTTTTTTGGCTCCAGAAAACTCGTGAAAAATATGAGGAAAGTTTTTGCTGAGTGACTGCCACTAACGTCACATTCACGGAGGGACGAGGTGTGAAATAAACTCACAGCCACTGACAGCCTCGGTCACGCCGGCCGTGCCCGTGTGGGGACACTGTGGGAAAGCTGCTCAGCGCCGTCACCGCCCAAACCATACAGCGCCCGCGAGGACGGTGAGGAGGGTCGGGCATGAACGAAACAGAAAACACTCGACCAAAAAATACACAACGTATGTCCGTCCACTGGGGACCGGAGATAGTCAAGGGCAAAAACTCAGGGCGATACAGTGCTCCACTCTCCGGTCAGTCCACCATTGGTGTAATTTCAATCAAACTTAAAGGGAATCTTTTTGGCATAGAAATTGGAGATCTAACACTGCCAGAAGATATTTGCCATGTGCATGATAGATGAAAGGTTAGTGTGAAAATGAAAAAATCCTTACAACCAAACCAGGAGAAGACACACAACGACCAAATACAAAATGCAAACATTCGCATTCCCTAAAGCACACGGAAAGCTACTTGACCTCATTAATAATGATAATATCTCAGATTAGAACAGAGCTGTGTCCCCTGTAGGACCAAACAGGACTTACAGCTCTGACCATGTCCAGAGCCGCTGGTGCGGGCCTCGCTCTTATAACGCTTAGAGGCGTGTGGTTCATGCGTGCATGATAACACATGCTATAAAGCTTACCACTTTAGCCATTTTAAAATGTGTAATTCAGTGGCATTTAGCACAGTGATGGTGTTGTGCAGCCACGACCACTCTCTAGTTCCAGAACATTCTCATCACTACAAAGGAAATCCTATGCTATTAAGCAGTCCCTTCCTGTCCCTGCCAACCACTACTCTGCTCTCCTTCTCCATGAATTTGCCCATTCTGCTCATTTCACGGAAAGGGAATCAGACAAGATGTGGCCTTTTGTGTCTGCTTATTTCACTGAGCGCAACGTTTTCAAGGTCCATCACGTGCGATAATATTCCGTTGTATGGACATACCACATTTTATTTATCTATCTTGACTTGGGTCAGGGTGGGGGTGGGGGTGGAAGATCAGTGTCAGAGGCTTCTACCCCACCCCCCTCCCTATGACTGCTCCTCCTCCAAAGCCTAGTAGTGAATGGTAGGAATTGGATCAACTACCAACGATGTCCATTTTAATTATACATCCAGGGACCTAGGAAAGACTGGCTTGGTCTGTGAGCCCCATGGATTCACTCTGAGAGATGTCGCTGGGACTCCACTTACTACCTGCCCTCCCTATGTCTCCGTTTGACAGCGAGCCCATAATGATGTTTCAGGACTTCAGTATCCATCTGAACTTGAACCCTGTATTCAATAGTCCTTGTAATGCTAGGGTATTCCTTTTTTCTGGTGTATTGTTATATGTATGAATTCTGGAAGGGGAAGGACTATGTGCATTGGTCTTGATTGCAAGGTCTTTCCTTCTGGGGCGGGAGCATTTACACCGAGGAAATTGGCAACACTATAAATAATGACCTTTTTGGGAAAGGCTAACACAGCCCTTGCATACTCTTCAAAATCTGTAAAAAACAAAAACAGAAATCAAGCCTGAATGATGGTCAGAAAGGGGAGGGCAAGCACCCCAATAGAAAGTCCTGATCCCTCGCCCAGCTCCTGGACCCGAGCCAGTCCTCAGACTGGAAGACCTTGTTGCATCCAGTATACAGTTTCCAATCGTTTAACAACCAGCTCTCAAGCTTCTTGAGTATTTAATATTCAAGCTAGTACAGGTCAGCTCCAGCTCGCGCCAGCACACTCCTGGCAGGGGTCTCCTACCCTACCTCCGGGCGTGCTGTGTTCTGAAAACCACGTGTAACAGCTCCCAGCCAGGTCCATTCACAGAGGTCTGGCTTTCTTCCCTGTGCCTTCCCCCTCTTTGCTTATTCCCCCTAATGGTAATAGCTGTATTAAGTTTTGGTTTATTTTTCCTTTGTTTTTTAATATCACCAAAAATACGTGTGTACTGTTCCCCTTCCTTACACAGAGGGTGGCCTATTGCACACATTGGCCTGCACCTTGCATTTTTCACTTACCAATAGATCCTGGAGACCTTCCCCCTCCCTTCGATAGTGTATCTTTGGGATAGATTCCTAGAATTTATTTTATTATTTATTATATATCACCGGGTCATTATGTCAGTTTGCTGGACAGTCTCAAATCCCTCTTTGTATGGCTTGTTCCATTTTGCATTCCCACAGACAGTGTGAGAGGACGCCTTGGTACAGTTCTCCCAACTGGATGTGTCTGAAAGCCTTTGACTTCTTATCAATCTGACTAGAGGCCCAATGCACAAAAATTTGTGCAAGAGTAGACCTTCCTTCCCCCAGCTGCTGGCACCGGCTTCCCTCTGGCACCCGGGACCCGAGCTGGCTTCCCTCCCGTCCCAGCTTCATCCAGAGGACGTCCGGCCTAATTAGCATATTACCCTTTGATTATTATAGATTATTATAGATAACTGGGAAATAGAATCTCTTTCTTAAAGATGTACCTTTCTCTCAATGCGAGTTTGAGCAACTTTTTGTTCATTCAAGGCCACTTACATTCCTTTTTCTGTGACCTGCTGTTCATATCTCTTGCCCATGAAAAAAAATGGATTTGTTGGTCTTTTTCTTCCCTGATTTCTGGCAGCATTTAAATATCAGGAACATAGCATATTTTCTCTGGTATAAGTTGTAATTATTTTCCCCTAATTTGTTTTTTTTCTTATATTTTCCTATGGCATTATTTCTATCTATCTATCTATCTATCTATCTATCTATGTATCTATCTATCATCTATCCATTTTTATGTAGAACAAAGGGAACAAAGAGAGTTGAACAATTTTACAGCTCACGGGGGTTTCTGTCCTTCCCATTTTAGGTCAACTTCCTTTATGGTGTAATCACATCCTTGTCTCAGTAGTTGGTGAGCCGGATCCCACTTGCCTCCTCACCACCCGGTGCCCCTACCGGTTCCCCTCACCCACCCTTGCCTCGCTCTCCTCATCTGAGCTCAGAGAATTGCCATGATGCCACATCCCGGCCTCTCCTTTCTTCTGGAGTTTCACCCTTCAGGACCCAGATACCTTCTTTTTAAAATCTTCCCCGGTCCCGCTCAGTGTCAGCTGTCATTCCTTCCCGCTGAGCTGCTATGGCGGGTGTCTCCTAGGCCGACCCAGGTGGTCCCGCTGAGCTGCTATGGCGGGTGTCTCCTAGGCCAGTGATGGCGAACCTATGACACGCGTGTCAGAGGTGACAGGCGAACTCATTTTTTTTGGTTGATTTTTCTTTGTTAAATGGCATTTAAATATATAAAATAAATATCAAAAATATAAGTCTTTGTTTTACTATGGTTGCAAATACCAAAAAATTTCTATATGTGACACGGCACCAGAGTTAAGTTGGGGTTTTTCAAAATGCTGGCATGCCAAGCTCAAAAGGTTCACCATCACTGTCCTAGGCCAACCCAGGGGGTCCCCGCTGAGCTCCTGTGGCAGGTGTAGCCTGTGCTGACACAGGTGGTCCCGCTAAGCTCCTGTGGCAGGTGTGACCTGTGCTGACACAGGTGGTCCCCGCTGAGCTCCTGTGGCAGGTGTGACCTGTGCTGACACAGGTGGTCCCCGCTGAGCTCCTGTGGCAGGTGTAGCCTGTGCTGACACAGGTGGTCCCGCTGAGCTCCTGTGGCAGGTGTAGCCTGTGCTGACACAGGTGGTCCCCGCTAAGCTCCTGTGGCAGGTGTAACCTGTGCTGACACAGGTGGTCCCGCTGAGCTCCTGTGGCAGGTGTAGCCTGTGCTGACACAGGTGGTCCCGCTGAGCTCCTGTGGCAGGTGTAGCCTGTGCTGACACAGGTGGTCCCGCTGAGCTCCTGTGGCAGGTGTAGCCTGTGCTGACACAGGTGGTCCCGCTGAGCCCCTTGGCAGGTGTAGCCTGTGCTGACACAGGTGGTCCCGCTGAGCCCCTTGGCAGGTGTAGCCTGTGCTGACACAGGTGGTCCCGCTGAGCTCCTGTGGCAGGTGTAGCCTGTGCTGACACAGGCGGTCCCGCTGAGCTCCTGTGGCAGGTGTAGCCTGTGCTGACACAGGTGGTCCCCGCTGAGCTCCTGTGGCAGGTGTAGCCTGTGCTGACACAGGTGGTCCCGCTGAGCTCCTGTGGCAGGTGTGACCTGTGCTGACACAGGTGGTCCCGCTGAGCTCCTGTGGCAGGTGTAGCCTGTGCTGACACAGGTGGTCCCGCTGAGCTCCTGTGGCAGGTGTAGCCTGTGCTGACACAGGTGGTCCCGCTGAGCTCCTGTGGCAGGTGTGACCTGTGCTGACACAGGTGGTCCCGCTGAGCTCCTGTGGCAGGTGTAGCCTGTGCTGACACAGGTGGTCCCGCTGAGCTCCTGTGGCAGGTGTAGCCTGTGCTGACACAGGTGGTCCCGCTGAGCTCCTGTGGCAGGTGTAGCCTGTGCTGACACAGGGGGTCCGCAATGCTGGGTAGGCTTGGTTTTGACATTTATTTCACGTGTGTAAATCTGGTTTGTTCAACATGACATCACACACCAAGTCAAGAGCAACAACGCCTGTATTTCATCGATTCAAAGCCACATGTTAACATCTCTAATGAGACATCTTCTCAAAGATGTCACGTCCTGGTCCCGTGGACAGCGCTCTGTTGCTGAGAGGCAGGTGAAATAGCAGAGCATCTTTCTG